GTCAGCGTTCGAGGGTAACACACTTAAGAATTCATCTCTAATTTTGAATCTAATCCCTCACTTAAGAAAGCAATTTCACCACGTTTGCCCCTCAAAATCCATTAAAATCTACCTTCGCACTGGTAACTACCGTACTCGAAGTTGTTGTTGTTGGTTCATTAGTGCATTGTGTGGCTATCTCTATCCATGTGTATGTATGTGAAGAGCGGTGGCGGCACGGAGCGCAACTCGTCAGACTAGAGTTACCGTAACCCGGACGTTGTCGAGCATACACGACATCGTCGGTTCCCTAATCAATCCTTCTCTCCTCTCATACGCCGTGCAATTGAATTATTGGCACCCGCCCTACGGCATACCACTTTCGTCAGAGTCGAGGCCCATGCTGGCGCTGTACAGGAAGATTTTCTTTTGGAGAGAAGGTGGGGGAAAAGGAATGGAAACCAGAGAGAGGGACCTAGTAAGCATTTGGCAGGTTGGAAAAAAGCTGCGCAGCCGAACTACCGTAATCTTCTCTTGGTGCTGTCAGACCTAGGCCATAATGGTATCAGAAATGGGGATATGATCGCGCTATAAAAGAATGATTGCGTCAAAGTTGGGTTTAGCGTCTCAATTTACTTATTCTACATTCTTGACATCAAATCTATCCAACGCTCAAGCAGCAAATTGAATTTGCTTGATTACCCGCTATTTTCGTCGATTCTTTAAATACCCTGCTCCAGAAGGCAAAGCAAGAGAAGACGCAGGAGACGTTGGTGCTCTTGTTATAGTTTCGTTTGCTTTACATGAGTAATTCTGCAAGGCACCTTTCTGGATCTCAAGCACCCTAGGCTTTCTAAATAGGTACCGGATTGTCCCTTAAAGGATTATAAGAGTCACCCTTTTACGTCCTTGTATGAACAGCTGATCGTAGTTTTATCGACATTAGCAAAGTGTTATATGTGCCTTCTTGTAGGTATGGTTCCAAAACCGACGAGCGAAACATCGAAAACAGGAAAAACAGTTAAATAAGGTGTGTTACTTCCACCCTTGCTTTTAAGTTTTTTTTCCGAATCATCTTTTCAAGAAGTCGAATAGAATGCTAACTGAGCCTAATATTTTGATTTCAGACTCTCAATCCTCATCAAGCCATATTCGCAGCTAATCCAGCCAGCAATATTATGCGTCAGGGAATGTACCCGTCACCACTTGGAAATCCACGGGATAGTTTTTGGTGAGTTTGGGTTTTGCCTCACTTAGGATTGTATCCCTCCTAGTAATTTTGGGCAAATTCTCAGAAGCAGCTGTACTTAGCTGCATGTTAGAAAGAAAAATGTTTTTCTAAGACTTTTTCCTTCCAGAAGTTCCTTCTGGCTAATTTGAATCCAATTTTCCACAATATAATCTTTAAAGACAATAATGTATAAATGCTTGCTCCAGGTACCCCTCATATCCGCGACAGATGCCCTATCCGACAGCTACACCACCATATTCGACAAATTCCTTCACAAATCCAATAACAAAGTATGCTTTTCAGCAATTTTATTGATTATTATTCATAGATTGAGATAGGGTGGGATTTCATCCTATGCTATCTCGCCAATCTATCTCTGATAAACTGCAGATACTGTAGAAATCTGCCTGAACAAGTTGAATGCGAATTTTAACAATGTTCTTCAGAATTATGTGTAATTAAGAGATTTTTTTCTTCTGCTAATGCGTGTTTAAATAGATTGCAATTCAAAAAATTTCGATAAAACAATTACGGCTAATCATCACCTGATTTGTTGAATTTTAGCTTCAGTCCATCGATTGCACCGTTCTCATCTGACGAAGATTTCTATCAGAAATCTCTGGCCCTACGAATGTCCTGCCAGCCGACGTCGGCTAATATCGCCAATCTGAACTACCCACAGAGTTAAGCGGGATATAAGCTCCATGCAGGGCAACCGATACTAGTCCAGTCACGGTTTTTGTTCTCTTCTCAATATTTTCGTTCTTCTCGAAATTTACTAGTTCACGTCGA